TCACCTGAAGTCAGGAGTTCAAGATCAGCCTGGCCAACATGGCGAAACCCCGTCTCTACTAAAAATACAAAAATTAGCTGGATGTGGTGTTTGGGACCAGCCTGGCCAACATGGTAAAACCCCATTTCTACTAAAAATACAAAAAACTTAGCCAGACGTGGTGGCAGGCATACCTGTAGTCCCAGCTACTCGGGAGGCTGAGACTGGAGAATTGCTTGAACCTGGGTGTTGGAGGTTGCAGTGGGCTGAGATCGCGCCACTGCTCTCCAGCCTGGGTGACAGAGCAAGACTCCATCTCAAAAAAAAAATTACTTTCCAAGGAGTAGCAGTGGATTTATGCTGAGTCACCCAAGCTTTCATTTCTTCCAGGGGTTGTAAGCCTGTATTCTGGAACCAGCTCTGTCATATACTAGCCATATGACCCTGGGAAATTTACCTAAAAGTTCTCTATGCCTTCAATTTCCATGTGTGAAATGGCGATAATGATACCAGCTACCCCATAAAGTTGTTTTGAGGTTCAGAGACGTAAAGAGCTTAGAACATGGCCGAGAGCACATATTTCGTACCACAAGTGCTATTTTCATTTGTTCTTCTAATATTAATTTAAAACCTCTGCTCAGGCCAGGTATGGGTGGCTCACGCCAGTAAGCTTAGCACTTTGGAAGGCTGAAACGGGAAGATTGCTTGAGGCCAGGAGTTAAAGACCAGCCTGGGCAACATAGCAAGACACTGTCTCTATAAAAAATTTAAAAATGAGCTGGGCATAGTAGCACACACCTGTAGTCTCCGCTACTCAGGAGGTTGAGGTGGGAGGATTGCTTGAGACCAGGAGATCACGGCTGCATTGAGCCATGATCGTGCCACTGCACTCTGGGTTAGGAGAGAGAGTTAGACCCTGTGCTGAAAAAAAAAGTAAAATAAAACAAAATCTCTGCTCTGGACACTGCTAGGTACTGAGAGGTAAAAACGAATAAGATGTAGTAAGGTTCCCTCAGTGGGCTTATGGTCTATAAGGTACTGTTTTATTTATTTTGCCTAGCACACCAGTTACAAAGTCCTCAATACGTGTTTCCGAATGTATGATTGTCTTGGGGAAACAGGCAAGCATACCAATAATTTCAATGAAATGACAGGCTATAACTGTGCCTGGCACAGAGTAAGTACCTGCTACCATATAAGCATTAGCTGTCTTGATTATGAGTTCAGTAAAAGAAATGCTGAGATGGAGCGTGCGGGCTGAAGGTTGAGGGTGAGGAGGGAGAAGTGCATTCAGGGAAGTCTTCCAAGAGGCAGTATCATTGAGCTTAGTTTTGATCCATGTGTAGGCGTTAGCCAGTAAGAGAAGAGGGCTATGTGTGTTCCAGGCAGAAGGAACATTGTGTGCAGAGTTAGAGAGGCGTGAAATAGCACAATACATTCAGGGAACTCCGAGTAGGCAAGAAGGACTGGAGCACCATCCTTATTGTGACATCCAGCATGCATTTGTTAAATGAGTACTTGAGATTAGAAGCTGTGGGATGAAACAAAACAAATGAGACATTGCTTGTGTTACTCTGGTCTTCAGCATTAAATGAAATAAGCAGTCATGGCCGAAGTGGCCGGGGGATTTGTTGACTGTCACATTTGCTCTGGTACAAATGCTGTAGAGTTTCCTACTGCACAGTCGTTCCCTTTCCTCTGCTAGAGGAAGTGAATTCACTTAATGTCTGTTTCTTTCAAAACGACTGAGATAAATTACAAAAAAGTTGATGAGACTATAGTGTAGGTGAAGATGTTTTTGCATAGTAACATATTGCTCTAGACCAGAGGTCAGCAAACTACGGCCCGAAGGCCAAATCTGATCCACGGCCTGCTTTTGTAATTAAGTTTTATTGGAATATAGCCATGCTCATTTGTATACCGGTTGCCTATGGCTGCCTTAGTGCTACAACAGCAGTTAGGTAATTGTGACAGGACTATACGGCCTGCAAAGCCTAAAATATTTACTGGCTGGCCCATTACGGAAACTGTTTGCCAATCCTAGGCCAGGTGCAGTGGCTCATGCCTGTAACCTCAGCACTTTGGGAGGCTGAGGCAGGAGGATCACTTGAGTCCAGGAATTTGAGACCAGAGTCCAGGAGTTTGAGGCCAGCCTGGCCGACAGGGCAAAACCCCATCTCCACTAAAAATACACACAAAAAGAGTAGCCAGGCATGGTGGCAAACACCTGTAGTCCCAGCTACTTGGGAGGCTGAGGCAGGAGAATTGCTTGAACCCAGAAAGTGGAGGTTGCAGTGAGCCGAGATTGCACCATTGCACTCCAGCCTGGGTGACAGAGTAAGACTGACTCAAAAAAAAAAAGAAGAAGAAGAAAAGAAAGTGTTTGCCAATCTTTAGACTCATCTCTTCTAATCTGATAAGTATCAACCACCTAAATATTTAAAACAAGATATCGAGTTGGTTTAGAGCCAATGTGGTAAACAATAGATTATCGAATTTTAAAAATTCACTATTAAGGAGAGAGAAGATCGCACATACATTAGCCATAAAGTGTGCAATAATCACGAATGAATAAATAAACATAGTTTTTGTGATTGGCTTTCAAATTTGTCTCTGAGCTTTCTAGCCATGGGATCGGAGAAGAAGATAATTGGTCATCTGTATTAGTTACCTGTTACTTCATAACAAACCATCTTAAAATTGCACGGGATAAAGTGGCTACCATTTACTATTTCTCGAGTCTGTGAATTGGCCGAGAGGTTCTACTGATCTGAGTTGGGCCCAGCTGTTGCTAGTGGACTTGCTCACACATTTGTGATCAGCTCGTGTGCTCGCTTGGAGCTGGCTGGTCTAAAATGGCTTCAGCTGGAGCAGCTCACCTCGACTCTACATGATTTCTCATCCTCCAGTAGGCTAGCCTGGACTTGCTTGCATGGCAGTGGCAGATTTCAGGAGAAAGCGGAAGCACACACTTCAGGCTTAGGCTTGGAACTATTTTTTTTTTTTGAGACGGAGTTTCGCTCTTGTTACCCAGGCTGGAGTGCAATGGCGGGATCTCCGCTCACTGCAACCTCCGCCTCCTGGGTTCAGGCAATTCTCCTGCCTCAGCCTCCAGAGTAGCTGAGATTTCAGGCACATGCCACCATGCCCAGCTAATTTTTTGTATTTTTAGTAGAGACGGGGTTTCACCATGTTGACCAGGATGGTCTCCATCTCTTGACCTCATGATCCACCCGCCTCGGCCTCCCAAAGTGCTGGGATTACAGGCTTGAGCCACCGCGCCCGGCCTGGCTTAGATCTATTATTACTTCAGTTACATTCTAGTAGCCAAAGCCAGTCAAAAGTCAGGCCCAGACTCAAGGAATGTGAAAATAGACTCCAGTTCTTGATAGGAGAAGCTGCAAAGTCACATTGCAAGGCGCAGGGAAACAGGAAGGACAGAATTGAGGCCATGTTTGAAATCACAAACAATCAATCATCATCTAAAACAGCATGTATTCCAACCACAAAATTTTAAAAGTCATCTCTGTGGTCTAAAGTGGAAACAAGGAGTCATTGTACATCAGTCTATTCAGCCCCACCCACAGATATGAATCATCAGTGTCTTCAACTAAGAGGACCACTATCTTCTAGCTAATGACAAATACAGAGGAGGGGTGGAAAGAAGCCTCGTGGAAATGCGTACATATCACATGAGACCCAGACCCATATTCAAATACCACTTGATGAATTTCACCAGGGAATCAGACCCAGTTTTAACGGGTTAGAGGGAAACGGAAAATCATTGTCACAGATGTAAGCAATAACTAAACGTTAGCTTTCAAGACTAAAGCCTAAACAGACCTACAATATTCTGGCTGATTCCCATTTGCCTCCACTTTCATCATGGGGTGGTGTTAAAATTGGTCACTGTATTCAAAGATCGCATCGCTATCTATGGATACGGATGTGATTGAAATGACAGATATGGGAGAATTTTTTTAACTCACTAGCCATGTGATGATTTTTTAAAATTTATTGCTAGAAAATCTTCGCTATTACCAAACTTGCCTCAATAAATGATGTTATGTATAAATAGCAACAGTGATGTCAGAAGACCTCCTTAGCAGTTCTTTTTCTAGTACGATAGGGCTGTCTGTAAGAAGAGAGTAAACACAGATAGCTCTTGCTTCTTAGAGTATTTCAGAATCTCCCTAAAAGTCTTTTATATATTAAAAAAAAAAAGCAAAACTCTGAAACCACCCAGACAAAAACCACACAGCCTAAGTATGAGAATGTTCTTTCTGGCCTAGAGCCAGTCAGGGTCCTTGGCTTTGTTTGTAAGACACCAGTGTCTTTAAACTCGGACTTTGTGGAGCTGCCACCATCAGACTTCAGTAGTAAGAGCAGTAGTAAGTGGGGAGGAACATGACAGAATTTAGAGAACTATTAGATGCCTGTTGACTCAGACATCGGGACCAGCTGTGAATGGAAATACCTTTCAACTTAGATATAATGAAAAGGACCGGGGCTGTTGCTGGTACTGAAGAGGTGGAAACAAAACCTTCAGGATGCTTGAAGATAACTTGTTTATAGGAGGGCTGGGGGCGATAGGGTTGTCTTAGGAAGAACAAATGATGCTTCCAAAATTTGGGTGCAGAAAATCAGAAGTTAACCTTGGGTGGGTCACAAGGTCAAACGTAATGAAGGTTAAGGGTGACAAGGTTAAATGACATAACATATAAAATACCTGGTGGGTTACTTAGAAGAGTAGACCTCAAAAATGTTGGTTCCCTCCCTTTCTCTGGATCTCCCACCACCTTAAGGATTTCTTATAAAATGAAAAACCTGCCAGCCAGCTGCCACTGGAAAAATGTCAAGTAGGATGAGCTGCTGAGAGGTGGTAACAACAAAATCCACATCCAGGTGGATGGAGCAGGGGATGTCACCTCTCCGGCCCCTCCCCTAATTACAGCTTGGAGGCAGCATAAAGAAATCCCTTCCTTCCTGCAGAGGAAGTATGTGTGTTCTCTCAGACCTACCTTGGCATTCCTTGATGTCTTAGAGAAGCAGATGACCCCGGCTGAGCAAGACAGTCAGCAGAACAGCAGCCCTTGATGCTGCAATTGGAAATTTCCATTCTTTGCTTGCAGCTCTGAAAAAAAAAAAAAAAAAAATCTAAAGAGCCAGTAGCTGGGAAATTTCCACGATGGAAAATTTTAACATATTCTTTAGCTCTAAACTATGCAGGTTTATAGAGACTATTTTTTTTTCATTTGGTAATTTTCTTCTTTAACAATAATTTATGATCATTATAATACTACAGCTGTGGGAATAAGGAGAACAAAATGACTTGGAGGGGAACCGGTACAGTTTAGGCTAGTGGGAGGCTGTGCTATCTACTTGTGGGACCACCCAAATCATAGATATGCAGATTGCTACAAGACCCACTGGTTGGGAACTCATCCAAAATAGAGATAGCTTGCCCTGGAGTACTGCAGAGAAATCTGTGTAGAGACTGGTAGTGGAAAATAGATGGATAGAGCTTTAGACCAGGACATGGTGAGTTCTATTGTTGGAAAAAGCAACTCAGGCAGGTCCCTAAGACTACTGCTACTTAAACCTAAAAATGCATGCAAATCACCTGGGAACCTTGTTAAGATAAAGATTCTGATTCAATAGGCCTGGAGTGGAGAACGAGACTCTGTGCTCCCAGGTGACACTGATGCCCTTCTGAGGACCACGTTGTGATTAGCTAGGCCATAGACAGCAAGTCTCCATCGGTATAAGGTCAGCTCCCCTTGGGTAGCAAAACACTGCCTAAGGGTGGCTGGAGGTGAGTCCCCATGGGGTTGTTTCCTCAGGTGACAAAGCTAAAGTCTAAAAGTAGAACGGGATATCTTCTGGAGAGATGCTCCATGCAAGTATGGATAAAGTGGATCTCTTGAGATGTGGGAATGCAGGCAGTTGCGAGAACGCTGCTTACTCCGGCAGATTCAAGTTGGGAGCTTCTGGAAATCAATGGCTTTCCAGAGAAACTCTTGCATCAGGTTGGCGAAGATTCCTAAGCTGGTGCTGATTTCTGAGTGATTCTCCAGTGTTGTGGCATGTGAGTGAAACGCCAATGAACAAGCTCCACATAATGAAGGAAGACTGTTGACTAGGATGATGTGAAGGAAAGGAGTCCAGAGAATAAATTACTTCCACCCTAGCTAGAATAGTTGCCTCCCTTTTATTGAGTTGAAATAAAAGCAAAATTGAAGAATTTTCCATTTACTTAACAGTTATCTTGCCTTTGTGCTACCAATTTTACAGAGAGAGAGAGAGATCAAAATTTGTGGCATCTTCATTACAGGGTGTTACCTCCAATTGGTCTGTAATATATCTGCTGTGTATATTTTCTTTTCTTTTCTTTTTCTTTTTTGAGACAGTCTCGTTCTGTTACCCAGGGTGGAGTGCAGTGGTACAATCTCAGATCACTGCCACCTGCGCTTCCCAGGTTCAAGCAATTCTCGTACCTCAGCCCCCCAAGTAGCTGGGACGTCAGGCAACTGCCACCATGCCTGGCTAATTTCTTTTTATTTGTTTTGTAGTAGAGACAGGTTTTCACCTTGTTGCCCAGGGTGGTCTCAAACTCCTGAGCTCAGGCAGTCTGCCTGCCTTGGCCTCCCAAAGTGCAAGGCTTACAGGCGTGAGCCACCGTGCTCAGCCTGCTGTGTGTATTTTTAAAGCAACATTTGTCCTATGTTTTTTATCTTCCATTCACTTGAGTTTTGGTCGGGTTGTTACCAGTACTCAAAGTATACACAGGAACATGAAGAAAAGGAGGAAGGATATTATGAAAATGTGATGTTGAAATCAGAGTGTAATAAGCATGGAATTAATTTGACTATATAATAACAAGTATTAAAATATATATATTGGAAGTAAATATTCTAATATGCTAACTTCTATATAATATTCAAAAATAAATGGCTTACAGAATTGTTTAGGGATTTGGACTTCCAGAGATTGGTCAGAGTCTTCCCTGTGGAGTCTTCAGCAATGAAACGGTCTTCCTGATTCCTTAGGAGATCAGTTTTCTTTCCTTACTATATGTCTTGATGAGCAATTATTTATCTAAGAACCGTCTTACAACCTACAGCCCATCGAATGGAATTTACTAAATCCATCTAAAGTCACATTTTAAAAAAATATCATTTTTGATACAGGCTGGAATTCAGTGGTACCATCATGGCTCACAGCAGTCTCAACCCCCCCAACCCTTATCACCCACCCATGATGCCCAGCTAATTTTTAAAATTTTTAATTTTTTCGTAGAGATGTGGTTTCCTTATGTTGTCAGGCTGGTAACAAGCTCCTGGGTTCAAGCACCCTACCCCCTCAGCCTCCCATAGTGCTGGGATTATAGGCATGAGCCACAACAACTGGCCCTTTTAAAAAATTATCGAGGTGAAATTCACATAATATAAAATTGCCTATGTTATTTATTTTTCTTCTTCTTTTTTTTTTTTCCCCCAGAAACAGGGTCTCCTTCTGTTGCCCAGGCTGGTCTTGAACTCCTGGGCTTAAGCAATCCTCCTCCCCTTGCACCACCTCGACCTTGGCCTCTCAAAGTGCTGGGATTACAGGCATGAGCCACTGTGCCCAGATAATTACCTTTCTTTTTTTGGAGTCGAAGTCTTGCTCTGTCACCCAGGCTGGAGTGCAGTGGTGCAATCTCAGCTCACTGCAACCTCCGGCTCCCAGGTTCAAGCAATTCTCTCCTGCCTCAGCCTCCCAAGTACCTGGGATTACAGGTGCATGCCACCACGCCCAGCTAATGTTTTGTAGTTTTAGTAGAGATGGGATGTTAGCCAGAATGGTCTCGATTTCCTGACCTTGTGATCCACCCGCCTCAGCCTCCCAAAGTGCTGGGATTACAGGCGTGAGCCACTGCACCTGGCTAACAATGACCTATTTTAATGTGAACAATTCAGAGGCATATAGTATATTCACAACACTGTACAATCACCGTTTGTATCTAGTTCCAAAACATTTTAATCATACCTAAAGGAAACCCCATGTCCATTAAACAGTTGCTTCTAATTCCCCCCTGCAGCACCTGGCAACCACCAATCTATGTTCTGACTCTGTGGATTTACCTATTCTGGATATTTCATATAAATAGACTTATAGTATACGTGGCCCTTGTAAAGTCCCATCTTTATAAGCATCGTAATTATAAAATCTAATGTTGGCCGGGCGCGGTGGCTCAAGCCTGTAATCCCAGCACTTTGGGAGGCCGAGGCGGGTGGATCACGAGGTCAAGAGATCGAGACCATTCTGATCAACATGGTGAAACTCCGTCTCTCCTAAAAATACAAAAAATTAGCTGGGCATGGTGGCGCGTGCCTGTAATCCCAGCTACTCAGGAGGCTGAGGCAGGAGAATTGCCTGAACCCAGGAGGCGGAGATTGCGGTGAGCCGAGATCGCGCCATTGCACTCCAGCCTGGGTAACAAGAGCGAAACTCCGTCTCAAAAAAAAAAAAAAAAAAAAATCTAATGTTAATCAGTACATATAACAGGTGAGATATTTAATCCTTACAAGCTTATAAGTGGGTACCATTATTAGATAGACAAGAAACCTAGAATTTAGTTTCAATCAATATATTAAATCCGTATGCTTGAGATCCATACACATGGCCAATCAGAGAATAACCTTCTTGGGCCAGACCCAGTTACTCTAATGCTTTTTCCAAATGCCACAGACACATCTCAATTTTCATCTCCCTGTTCACAAACAGATGGATAGATACTCCTTCTCAAGTTTAACAACTTCACAGAGCTTGATTCAAATACTGAATGTGTTGTTAGTTGCTTACAGCTGCTATTTCTCTAGCAATGCAGTAAGTCCAGGCAAACTCTTTTGAAGAGCTCATTAAAACTGCTAAAATAAAGCTTAGAAGCAGGTGCATTCATTAGCTGAAATGCAGATGATTATGTTAATATCGCATTCAGGTGACAAATTTAAAGGCATCAAATCATGAAGGATAAAAGGATTTTCAAAGCTAAAGTTAACTTCTCCCTTTGTAGGGCTCTTTGTTCTGGTAAGCATGTGACTGACTACAGCTGTCAACATGGGCACCTCCAAAGTTACCTCGCAAAAACAAAGGTGTTTTGCAGTATCATGCTTCTTTTACAATTTCCTGGGTCTCTACTGAAGAAAAGAAAGGTAAGGAATTACCTACAAACCTGGTGCAAATAGAAGATCTGGCACCGCGTTTACGATTAATTGTGAGATAGGTCCCAGGGAAAGAGGAGACATGTTAAAGAAGGCAATTAACATATGTGGACAGCGGGCCGGGCGCTGCAGCCCGTGCCTGTAATCCCAGCACATTGAGAAGCCGAGGTGGGTGGATCACTTGAGGTCAGGAGTTTGAGACCACCCTGACCAATATGGTGAAACCCCGTCTTTACTAAAAATACAAAAAATAGCCAGGCATGGTGGTATGTACCTATAATCCCAGCTACTCAGGAGGCTGAGGCAGGCGTATCACTTGAATCCGGGAGGTGGAGGTTGCAGTGAGCCGAGATTGCACCACAGTACTCCAGTGTGGGTGACAGAGCGAGACTCCGTCTAAAAAACAAAAAAAGAATGTGGACAATGATTCCCAATTTGGAAAAGATGGGCCAACAACTCTTTTAGTTTGCCTTTTTCCCCCCTCAATATTTTGAGCATGAAATATGTATGTAACCACATACATATTTCATATGTGTTTGGGAGACTATGTTACCAGTAGTTTCATCAGGATAATTTTAATTTTCTTTTTTGTGTGTATTTTTGTATTTCTCACATTTTCTACAATGAATGTGTAAATTTTTTAGAAACTTTAAATGTCCATTTTTTATTAAAATTTATTTTTAAATTTGTTATTTTTCAAGTTATTAAAAATTATGGCACATTTCGCCTCTCCACCTCCAGCTGTTTCACCTGTAAAGTTGGCTTACACTGAATTGCGTAACACGTGGAAGCTGGGTGCGATGCTCCCCGTATTCCATTCCTCCCTTCAAATCTAGGATGCCTGTGGAAATGTGGGTTCCTATTTATAAGGCAATGTAAGAAAACACAGCTAAGTATCCAACCATTTATAAGAATATATAAACAAGCTTAAGGATTTTTACGTCTTTCTTCAGAACATCAATCAAGTGTGCAATCTCAAAGTGAATGTATCTGTCACTTGCAAAGGATAAAAGGCTGAAAAACCTTTTTTAGGCCAAATCTTTATTTTTTTTTATTTTTGTATACAAAAAAAAGCTGTGAAGTCTTTGTAAGCTAATATTTGACACATTTTTTTCCCAAAATGGAGTACTAAAATGACTGCGGACTGCAAAATGTAAATAACGAAGCTGGCATAGACTGGTACCTACTTATAGGGAATGTTTACATAAAATGTACGTGCTTGCTAAATAGCTTGAAATTAACAAACTGAAAGGCTGCTTGTACAGTGTAGGAGTCCTATTTTTGCCTTCCATCCTCTTCAGCTCTTCTCCTTCTAGCTCCCTCTGTACATTATTACTTTCTCTCTTTTTTTTTTTTTCTATACAATTTATAAGTCCATTGGCCCCATTTAAAAAGAAAAGCAACATGTAAAGCAGCAAAGAAAGAAATCCCGCTGGGAATGGGTTGGGTAAGCAAAGGCTTCTATATAGATGTGCACATATACGTCCCTCTCCCTGGTCAAGAATGGCTTCTCTGAATTCCTGTTCCACATGCTGTGACAAGTCTCATTGGCTGGAGCTCATTGTGTGCAGCTCCTTTGACTGCTGGACAGCTCCGAGTCTCCTAGGAATACTTTTCCACATGCCCCATCCTCTTCTGTTTAATTCTCAGACCTGGCACACACACAAAGGCTTCAGAATCAAGACAAAATGAAGAACATGGCCAGAAGAGACTCCTGTTCTTCCAAAATGGTGCATTGCCACCATAAGATAAGTGGATTAACTTCAGAGTATAGGCTTGATTGATTAAATTTTTTGAGACAGGGTCTCACTCTGTTGCCCAGGCTGAAGTGCAGTGGCACAATCATGGCTCACTGCAGCCTTGACCTCTTGGGCTCAAGCGATCCTCCCACCTCAGCCCCCTGAATAGCTGGGACTACAAATGTGTGCCACCATGCCCAGCTAATTTAAAAAACCTTTTTGTAAACGCAGAGTTTCATTATGTTGCCCAGGCTGGTCTCCAACTCCTGGGTTCGAGCAATCCTCCCACCTCAGCTTCCCAAAGTGCTGGGATTACAGGCATGAGCCACTGCACCTGGCCAAGAGCACAGGATTGAAAGATGAACTTGAGAGGTCTCCCTAGTCAAGTTTTCTTTAAATGGATGCTCCATTCTAGAGTATGCTTGATGGTCATCCAGACTGAACTTGAAATTTTCCAATGATACAACTCTTTTTCATTTTCCCTCTTTTATATAGAGTACAAATAGCATTATAACCACAATGCCAAAAAAGAGAAAAAAGGTATGAATGATTTCTAATGTAATATTGCCAGCATTTTAAAAATCAGCTTTTTTAATTTTTATTTTTACAGTGTCAGGCTCTGTTGCCCAGGCTGGTGTGCAGTGGCACCATCTCAGCTCTGCAACCTCTGCCTCCCAGGCACAAGCCATCCTCCCACCTCAGCCTCCTGAGTAGCTGGGACTATAGGCACACACCACCATGCCAGACTAATTTTAAAAACCAGCTATTTTGAAATTTCTGTAATTGAGCCAGAATCCAGGATGCAGCGAGACTGAATCATTGACTGAAAGACACTTAGAAGATTTATTGGTCTGTGGCGTTCATCACACCATGAAGGCCAGACCCTGAAAAGGAGAACTGTGTAAAGAATGCAAAAGCCTCAATACCACAGTATCGTCCAAATCTTTTCCTAATTTGTCCTGCTTTGTCACTCTGACACCTGTATCACAAAAGACAATTTCTGAGATGATCTTACGTAGGAACCTTGTCTTAAACTATATGCCAACCTGTACAAATACTAAGTAGAGTAAAGTAGGACACATGCCATCAGGACCTCCTGAGGCTGTGTCATGGAAAAAATATTTTTTTTACGGAAGAATAAAGTTGAACAAAGCGTTCCCAAGTTACCTAAATTTTGCACATTACGATATTCTTTCTGAATACTTTGGGAAGTTCAGCAGGATTCTGAAACAAATAAATGTGACAACACAAAGAACAAAAATAGACAAAGGAAAAAATTTCAAGGATAGTGTGTGCCGTAAAAATAGTCAGATATCCTTTCTTTCCACTCTGGCTATATGGGAGATTCTTTCAGAATGAGTTGTAATGATGAAAGTGGGGTGTAATTTTTTAAAAGCAAATTTTGAAAATCAGTTGGCTAGTAGAGAAGGTAGACGACTGTGAACTATACATTTTACTAAGTAAATTGAATGGGGAGGTTTTTTAAAATGACTGTTACTTTCATGAATTGTAAAAAAAAAAATCAGACAATACAAAGTATTATAAAGAAGAAGAGACAACCCTATGTCCCATCACCTAAAAATAACCATCATAAATGTTAGGGGAATATCATTCCAGATGTGGAAATGAGAGATAACTTAGAATTTTCAGAAGCAACTTAGGCAAATAAGCCTAATTTTATTGTTGATGGTCTAATTGTGAGAGGCTCCAAAACTGACTTTTTTATATGTCTGTTTTATTTGAAAAGTTATGAGAGAAAGGGAATTAATTAGAATACTCAGTCCATAACCAATGATAAGAATGTGAGTCCAGGCTGGCGAGGGTGGCTCACGCCTGTAATCCCAGCACTTTGAGAGGCTGAGGCAGGAGGATCCCTTGAGTCCAGGAGTTGCCCAAGGAAACATATCTATGTTTTAGATATAGCGGAATTGAAGGTTAGATCATGGACATATAAAAGAAACTAAAGATATTTGCTAATTTCTATTGAACTCACATTTAAGAGAGAGAGAGAGAGTCTCAATACGTTGCCCAGACTGGAGCACAATAGCACAATCATTAGCTCATTGTAACCTTGAACTCCTGGGCTCAAGCAATCCTGTCTCCTAAGTAGCTGGGACTACTGGTGCTTGCTAATCTAGATGATTTTAAAATATTTTAAAAGTTTGTAGAGATGGGTTCTCATTATATTTCCTGGGCTGGTCTCGAACTCTTGGCCTCTTCAACCCAAACTCTTCATTTCACTATTCACTGTAAATATTATTCTTGCTTAGCTGTAGCCACTTCCTTAGAGAAGAAAGGGCATATGTTTTCATTATCGGTGAAGGTGGATGCTACTGAGAAGGCCTTTACATATTACATCAAGGACCATTTTTACTAGTTATACCTCTTTTTCTGAGCACATGAAATATTTTCCTGAGTCAACTTTTATTCTTTTATTTTTTTTTTTAATTGAGACAGAGTCTCGCTCTATCTCCCAGGAGAGTACAGTGGTGCGATCTGGGCTCACTGTAACCTCTGCCGCCTGAGTTCAAATGATTCTCATGCCTCAGCCTCCCAAGTAGCTGGGACTACAGGTGTGCCCCACCGCACCCAGCCAATTTTTTTTGTGTGTGTGTGTGCAAGTATTTTTAGAAGAAATGGGGCTTCACCATGTTGGCCAGGCTGGTCTCGAACTCCTGACCTCAAGTGATCCACCTCAGCCTCCCACAGTGCTGGGATTACAGGTCCAACATTGCACCTGGCCTTTTAATCGTTTTAATGTGTTGCTTTTTTTTTTTTTTTTGAAATAGGTTCTTGCTCTGCTGCCCAGGCTGGAGTGCAGTGGCGTTATCTCGGCTCTGCAACCTCTGCCTCCCGGGCTCAACCTGTCCTCCTGCCTCAGCCTTCTGAGTAGCTGGGACTAGTGGTATGTGCCACCACACCTGGCCTAATGTGTTATATTTAACCCCAGTTATTTATTAAGAAGCTCTTACCCTGAGATTCCTTCTCTTACTGGGTGAAGTCATTTTTATTTATTTATTTGAGATAGAGTCTTACTCTGTCACCCAGGCTGGAGTGCAATCTTGGCTCACTGCAGTCTCTGCCTCCGCCACCCAGGTTCCAGCAATCCCCCCCGACCCAGGGATTACAGGCGCATGCCATCATGCCCAACTAGTTTTTGCATTTTTAGTAGAGATGGGGTTTCACCACGTTGGCCAGGCTGGTCTCAGACTCCTGACCTCAGATGATCTGCCTGCCTCAGCCTCCCAAAGTGCTGGGATTACAGGTGTCAGCCACTGCACCAGGCCTATCCTATTATATTTGGATGAATTATTTGCCCATCAGTTGGCCCACCTAGATTTTAGTTATTCCTTTATGAAAAGGAAAGAGTAAAATTCCCCCTCCTTCACTCCTAAACAAACTTCATTAAACTCATATTTGAGCAAAATGTTTAATTAGAAATTTTCAAACTCAAAGAAAACTTTGCTCCTTTATGTTGCAAAAATCGAGAACATTATCTTTGTTAAATTCCACACACATTGATACTGATTATCCAAATGGCAGATTATTCGTTATTTCTTTTTTAAAATGTGTCTGGTAGTTCCCCCTCCTACTTGCATTTGACTAATGCTAATACAAAATTAGATGCCATTTCCTGAATTAGTCACCAACTTACGCTGAGAAAATGCAGGTCAAATAGGTGGAAGAAGAAAGCCAATATTTCCTTGGTAACCATTATATCAAAATTGAAGATAATTACTTAATCAAAAGTACAGATTTTCCATGCAATAGCTCTGTTTATCTCAAAGTATTAGCACATTGGACTACCTGACCATTTTTCCTGAAAAACTAAAGTGTAAATAATTTTAGTAAATTAAGTCCTGTTTTACCACTGACATGTTCTAATTTAAAGATAGAATTTTACTTTTAATCGATCCTTAACTGAGAGTGGCACTTAACCATTCTCTCACTATTAATGCTTATATGTATTAAGCAATAGATTAAAGCCAGTGCTGCTATTACATTGTTTTACTGTTAATGTATTTGAAGAGAAGCCATGTTGTATGTAAAGGAGTTAAGGCCCTACTTCCAAAACACTACTTCCCCTTCTCTAAATTCATGAGGTGGCCATCTCTGCTTTTTTTTTTTTGAGACAGTCTTGCTCTGTTACCCAGGCTGAAGTGTAGTGGTACCATCTTGGCTCACTGCAGCCTCCGCCCCCTGGGTTCAAGCTATTCTCATGCCTCAACCTCCAGAGAAGCTGGGATCACAGGCACGCTGGGACTATGGGCATGTGCCACCACACCCAGCTAAGTTTTATATTTTTAGTAGAAGCAGAGTTTCACCATGTTGGCCGGGCTGGTCTCGAATTCTTGACCTCAGGTGATCCAACTACCTCAGCTTCCCAAAGTGCCGGGATTACAGATGTGAGCCACCGTGCCCGGCTCTACCTCAGTTTTTTAATGTTTAAAATTTCATACTTCATTAGCATTCACTAAGGCATATTGAGGAAGCTCGAGTTTGAATTAGTGAAAAATTTGAATGCTATAATATAAAACTATATGATTGTATCTCTTCATGTTACAGTATGCAATTCTTAGCAGTCTGTAGAGAAGAAATCCCAAGAAGAAGGCTGCTACTTCTAGACACCTTGGGAAACTCAGAAGGTGAATAAGGTAACTGGGTAATTCACCTAACTCATTTTTACAACTAGAATAATCGTCTGTATTATATACTGTACCCACTGGTGCCAAATGCCTGCATTTGTATAGCGCTTTACTATGTATGAAGCACATTTCACATAATGCTGTTTGATTCAGATACAACACTAATCATTTTGGCTACCACCGTACTACAAGTAGAACTGTGTTAATAGTATGACTCTTAGCTTCTGGCAAATGAGTGTTGCTAAGTTATCTGAATATGCTCAGTTCATATTCACTGACCAGTTACTATGTGCTTGACATCAAGCTAGAAATTGTTTGTCCTCTTGGGTTAACAATCACTCTGAACTGTCGTTCATTCTGCCTGGTGACACTTAATCTCATGCTTTACTCCACCTGTCTAAATGTACTCATGTCTTCAAAAGATACTTAAAGCTTATAATAGGCACAAACTCAAAATGACTAGGTTCTTCGGGTGAAAGTCATTTGCCATGTGGACCAACAGCAATCAATTAGTTAACCAACCAATCAATAAGTGCTTTGCTCTAGCTCATACAGCTCGTTCAGGGCTTCTCCAACTTGGCATGTTGACATTTCAGACCAGACCATCCTTTGTTCTGGGCGTTAAAGGAGGTTCGACAGCAGCACTTGTCTTTCCATCAGACACCAGTAGTAGCTCCACTTCCAGTTTTGATCATTAAAAGCGTCTCCAGACATTGTCAAATGTCCCCATGGTGGAGGGGAGGGGAGAGATTGTCCCTGGGTGAGAATCCCTGGGCTAGTGTGTAGATCATGCTTTCTTTACTAGATTTTAAAGACCTCGAGGGCAGAGACTCAGTCTGATTCATCACTCTACTACCACTTCCCCACCAACTGAATTTAGTTCCTGGCACAGAAGTGCTTCTTGATGAACATTCGGAAAAGCATAAAATAGCTCCTGGAGTACCTCCACTGTCGTCAGCCCTGTGCAAGGTACCTTGGTAAGCCCACGAGATGAACAAGGTAACTGGAGTAATTCATCTAACACATTTGAATACAAACTCAAAATCTGAATAATCATCTGTGTTGTACACCGTCCCCAAGTTGGTGCCAAATGCCTACATTGGTAGAGGGCTTTACCATGTATGAAGCACGTTTCACATAATGTTAATTTAGTCAGATATAACAGTGGCTACCACTGTTTATAATGTAAACTCCCGAGTCCAAAAGCCATATTTTTAGGCAGGAGTGGGAGATATTTTGATTTCAGTGGCATTGCCTTCATTTATTAAAAGGAACTCTTGGGATTGGTTTAATAATCATTGAATGTAAATTTCAGATTCTTTTTTGTCAGGTTAGAAGTAAAACATCTAAAAGGACCTTCGTGATCTAAGTAATTCTGGTTTAGATTCCTGGAAATTGCCAGAGGGTTTTAAAGGAGGAGGGAAAAAAAAAGAGTGAGGAAATTTTCCCTGTGGGCAATTGGGGAAAACAAAAATATTTTTGTGCTGCAGTGAATTCTCAGGAAAGGAGGGTTGGCCAGCAGCGGCTGCGTCTGCGCAAGGGGAATTTCCACATTTGGGAAAACATGGTCATAATTAATGACTTAGGAAAGCCAAGAAAATGGACCATGTTGGAAAAATATGATCTTCAGTGGCCAAGTCATTGTCAACTGATTGGGCCAGAAAATTGGATTCTTTTAGAAAGAGATTTTTATCTGTGAATATTTGTCTGTAGGTCCTTCCTTCTGTGACTCTAGTCAATGCCCCACTCCTGCCTGGAGAGTCGGCTTCTCATAGCCCTTCCCACTCTGTCTCTCCCTGTCCTAAGGGAGGGCTTGCTTGAGACTTCTAGCCTGAACACTGTCCTCTGTGGTCTTTTGCTTTGAACTTGATGCTTGGGTCTAGCCAGCAGGGCTATTAGCATCCATTAAAATAAGGATTATCTGGGACTCCAGATCAAGCGCCGAAGGATGAGATTGCTGGATCCTAACACAGCTCAAAGTTATTGAAGGCTCCATGTCCTGGTCCCTGAGCAAAGAACACTGAAAAATTATCCTGATTTAGATGTGGGAAAACTGAGGCTCGGGGAAGTTTAAGTCACTTACCTCGGACCAATACAGCCTTCATTACCAAGCAATGCTTCTTCCATCTCCTCATCCTGTATGTGAAGTCTGCTTCCTAAATTGGAATGTTCTCACTCTGTATACAATCTCTTGCTTACTTAACTGCTACCTTCCTCTCCTTCTCCTTAGACCACTTTTTTTAAACTAGATCTGGCCTGGGCTGATGTTCATTGGAGTATTTCCTGGTTGCCTATTCTCAAGAAGATAAGCCCGGGTTAGCAGGCTCAGCACCGTCGAATCTTGATCTACTTGGGGAATGATTATGTGGTCAGCATGTTCTTGCCCGGTTTTGGGGTTTTCTTTTATTTCAGTGATCAAGTTTATTAAAACAGGTATGATCATCTTGTGCTTCTTCTCTTCTTAATTTTCTCAAGATCAGGAATAGCTTGCCAAATTTCAACAGGTTTTCCAAGTTGAAGGTCAAGTTTTTTAGAATGGGAAATACCACTAAGAAAAAAAATCTCTATATTTGACAGGTACATGTAGTATCCAACAGAACATCAACAAAATGTACTACATTGTTTTGTGAATTGAGCTTTTTTTTTCTTTTTTTCAAAAAAAAGCTTCAAATTAGGCCAGACATGGTGGCTCTCACCTGTAATCCCAGCACTTTGGGGAAGGCTACGTGGGAAGATCATGAGGTCAGGAGTTTGAGACCAGCCTCACCAATGTGGTGAAACCCCCTCTCTACTAAAAATGCAAAAATTAGCTGGCATGGTGGCATATGCCCGTAATCCTAGCTCCTCAGGAGGCTGAGGCAGGAGAATTGCTTGAACCTGGGAGGCGGAGCTTGCAGTGAGCCAAGATGACTCCACTGCACCCCAGCTTGGGTGACAGAGCAAGACTCCATCTCAAAAAGAAAGAAAAGAAAAAGCTGCAAGTTAAATCTTGTCCCTCTGCAGCAAACAATTCCATGCTCTAAACCTGTATGATGAGGCTTCTAAAGTTAGCCCTGCCCTGTAACTGCATGAATTGGAGAAAACAAACCTAACTAGGATTTAACAGTCTAATTGCTCTGGATTGAACCTCAATGGTATTATAATTAATTTAAAAATCACAGCATTGGGAAATAATTTAATACATTTCTGTCGAGATTAAAACATATTAATTAAATCTTACTAATATTTGTTTTACAGATGGTTCTTGGGCATAGACATTATTACCTTTATTTAGTGATATGAAAACTGAAGAGACATATTAGTTTTCTACTGATGTGTAGCAAATTATCACACGTTTAGGGAGTTAGAACAACATTTCACATATTTCACAGGTTTTACAGTTCTATAGGTCAGAAGTCTAGGTGGACTTGACTGGCTTCTCTGCTTAGGGTCCCAGTAAGGTAGAAATCAAGGTATTCATCAGCCTAGACTCTTACCTGGGGGGTCAGGGGAAGACTCTGCTTCCAAGCCCATTCAGATCACTGGAGGAACCAAGTTCCTTGTGGCTGTACCACTGAAGTCTTTTTTTTTTTTCTGTAGCCAGAAGCCATTGGCTGCTCCTAGAGGCCTCGTGCATTCTCCTTCTCATGCGCTTTCCCCCATCTACACCTTCAAAGCCAGCAATCACTCTTGAATCTTTCTCACCCCTGGAATCTCTGTGACTTTCCTCTTCTGCTTCCAGTTGAGAAAAAGGTTTTTGTTGTTGTTGTTTTTTGTTTTTTTCTGAGACAGAGTCTTGCTCTATGGCCCAGGCTGGAGTGCAGTGGGGTGATCTCGGCTCACTGCAGCCTCCACCTACTGGCTTCAAGTGATTCTCCTGCCTCAGCCTCCCGAGTAGCTGGGACTATGGGTGCGCACCACTACGCCCAGCTAATTTTTGTATTTTTCGTCGAGGCAGGGGTTCACCATGTTGGCCAAGCTGGTGTCAAACTCCTGACCTTAGGTGATCCACCCACCTCAACCTCCCTAAAATGCTGGGATCACAGGCCTGAGCCACTGCTCGAAAAACTATTTTTTAAAGGACTCACTGGTTTGGGCCAGGCCCTCTGGGCTAATCCCAGTATTTTAAAGTAAACTAATTTGGAACTTAAATTACATCTGCAAAATCCTATTGCAGCTATACCTAGATTATTGTTTCACAAAATAACCAGGGGATGTGAATCTTAAGAACTCTGCTTACCATAAGGAAATAGTTACCCAGTTAACCTGAGATACAATCTAGAAACAGACAGCAGCAGTATTAAACCAGAGAATTTCATTTTGTATTTCGTTCCCTTTTTCATATTTTTTAAACATATATGTTTATTTTATAATATACCTGTATATGTGTGTATAATAATTATTTTAGAGACAAGCTGTTACTCTGTTGCCCAGTCTGGAGTGCAGTGTCAAGACCCTAGCTCACTGCAGCCTCAGACTCCTGAGCTCAAGCAATCTTCTTGCTTCAGCCTCCCGAGTAGTTAGGACTACAGGCGTGTGCCACCACGGCCGGCTAATTTTTGTATTTTTAGTAGAGGTGGAGTTTTGCCATGTTGGCCAGATTGGTCTCGAACTCCTGACCTCAAGTGATCCACCCACCTCCATCTCCCAAAGTGCTGAGATTACAGGCGTGAGCCACCATGCCTGGCCTATGTGTGTTATTTATGGGCCTTATTTAAGGATGTTGCTAAACAGACATTTTGTAGCCTGTGCATCAGCATCACTAGCAGGCTGTGCTCTTGCTACGGATCCAAACTTCCCAAGTTTTTGCTGCACAGTTTCAATGTTCTGCGGCCTGCCAGATATACTAAAGTCTAGAATGCAGGCTGGGTCCATGGGCCCAGCTAACTGCTAATCCAGAAGCCTGGGCCCACAGAGGGTCACCTTGAGATGGGAAAGGTCTGGAAAAGGCTGAGAGGATCATCGAAAGGAAGAGAGTCTATTAATTTCTCTGATTTTGTCATTTTACCTGGAGAACAGCCTGATGAAAA